CACTTGCCATATTTACAATGATAAAGCTTGTTGTAGTGCCTGTTTAAGGTCCAACGGGGCTTCAGCTAGGAGGCGCTTTTGCATGGTCACGTCCTTTATCCCACATATCAAATGATCTCTCAACATCTCATTAAGGGTTAAACCAAAGTCACATGCCTCTGCCAGTCGTCTCAAACTAGTCAAAAATCCTGATATGGATTTCCCTGGTTCCCAAATTGCCGAACAAAAATGATAGTGTCTCAGAGTTAAAGGAGGGTTGGGGTTGTAATATTCCTTAACTGAATCCATCAAGTCTTGAAAGGTTTTAGTATCTTGTGCCTCAGGGGAATTTTGGCTCATAATAACTGAAAAAGCTGCAGATCCACAAGCTGTCAGGAGACTTTCTCGTTGCTTTTCATTTGCCCCAATGTCATTTGCCTGGAAAAAATAGCGCATTCTTTCTAGATACTGAGCCCAGTCTTCGGCAGGATCAAATGAGTCAAGCTTCCCAAATAACAGCATGATGCTAGCAATGTTTACACTAACTCAAAGCCGACTGTTACAAGCGAGTTTCTTCAAGAATGTGCTTTATGCTCATAGCCACTGAAAAATCTCCACAGAGGCTGGTATCCTGTCACCGAATCACTCTGGAGAGTCTTTGACATTGACATTGACATGCTTCCTCAGAGCCAGAGTGAATAGAACCTCTGACTCTCCTGTTTTTGTCTGTCAGCCAGGGCTCCCTGATTGGACCAGATTAACAGCCCCAATCAGGGAACTCATATTCTATGAGGTCCATCTGGCTGACCTCATTACAATTACTACAGTGTCTTTTTCTTATTAAAACTCTATCACCGATTCCCCTTGAGCATCCAATTGTGATAATGTCACATGCTCTTGTTGCATCCTTGTATCAGAAAAAAGGTCTCTAACTTGCTCTTTAATATTGTAGCACTATAGGAAGCTTATGCTGAGCCCACTCCTTCCCTACAGTCTCCCGAGGTCCTCATGCCCATCTGATTCTGGCCTTGTGCATCCCTGAGAAATGTGGATGTACAAAGGGATCTGGGTGTCCTTGTACACCAGTCACTGAAAGTAGACAGGCCAGTGCAGCAAGCAATGAGGAAGGCAAATTGCATACTGGCATTCATTGCCAGAAGATTTGAGTTCAGTAATAGGGATATCTTACTGGACCTGGAATATTATGTGCGGTTTTGGTCTTCCTACCGAAGAAAGAATATACTTACCCTGGTGAGAGTGCAGTGAAGGGTCACTAGGCTATTAATGGGGTGGCAGGATTCTATCAGGAGAGATTGGCTCCACCGATCCTGTATTAACTGCAGTTTAGAGGGATGAGAGGGGATCCGAATGAAACATAAATTCTAACAGGGCTGGGCAGACTAGTACAGGGAGGATATTTTCCCTGGGTGGGGATCCTAGAAATCAAGGATTTGGATACAGTCTTTGCGTGAAAACGTTGCCCCTTAGATCACTTTTAAATCTTTCCCCTCTCACATTAAACTTATGCCCTTTAGTTGTGGACTCCTCTAACCTGGAAAAAACATATTGACTGTTCACCCTATCCATGCCCCTCATGATTCTATAAACCTCTATAAAGTTACCTCTCAGCTTCCAATGCTCCAGGGAAACTAGCCCCAGTCTATTCAGCCTCTCCCTATAGGTCAAATCCTCCAACTCAGCAACATCCTTGTAAATCTTTTCTGCACCCTTTCAAGTTTAACAACATATTTCCTGCAGGAGGGAGACCAGAATTGAACTCACTATTCCAAAAGTGGCCTAACCAATGTCCTGTACAGCCGAAACAAGACATCCCAATTCCTATACTCAATGCTCTGACCAATAAAAGCAAGTGTACCAAGCACCTTCTTCACTACCCTGTCTACCTGCGACTCTGCTTTCAAGGAACTATGAACCTGCACCTCAAGATCTCTTTGTTCGGCAACACTCCCTAGGACCTTACCATTAAGTGTATAAGTCCTGCCCTGATTTGCCTTTCCAAAATGCAACACCTCACATTTATCTAAATTAAACTCCATCTGCCACTTCTCAGCCCATCAGCACATCAGATCAAGATCTCATTGTACTTTGAGGTAACCTTCTTCGCTGTCCACTACACCACCAATGTTGATGTCATCTGCAAATTTACTAACAATTCCTCCCACATTCACATCTAACTCATTTATATAAATAACAAAAAGCTGTGGACCCAGCACCGATCGTTGGAACACACCACTAGTCCAAAAAACAACCCTCTACCACCACCCTCCGTCTCCTACTTCAAGTCAATTTTGTATCCAAATAACTGGTTCTCCCTGGATTCCATGTGATCTAGCCTTGCTAACCAGTTTACCATGCAGAATCTTGTTGAAGGCCTTGCTGAACTCCATATCGACAATTTCCACCATTTTGCCTTCATCAATCCTCTTTGTCACTTCTTTAAAAAACTCAACTATGTTAATGAGACACAATTTCCAACGCACAAGGCCATGTTGACTATCTATGATCAGTCCCTGCCTTTCCAAATACATGTAAAACCTATCCCTCACAATCCCCTCCAACAAGTTACCCACCAGTGACATCAGGCTCACTGGTCTAAAGTTCACTGGTTTCTCCTTACCACCTTTCTTTAATAATGGTAGCACAGTAGCCAATCTCCAGTCTTCCGGCAACTCAGCTGTGGCTATCGATGATACAAATATTTCAGCAAGAGGCCCAGCAATCACTTCCCTAGTTTCCTTCAGAGTTCTAGGTACACCTGATCAGGTCCCGGAGATTTATCCACCATTATAAGACGTCTAGCATCTCCTCCTCTGTTACATGGACACTTTTCAAGACATCATTCTTTATTTCTCCAAGTTCTCTAGCTTCCATATCCTTCTCCACAGTAAATACTTGATTAATATTTCGCCCATCTCCTGCAGTAACCATTGTTGAGGGGCCCTATTCTCTCCCTAGTTACTCATTTTTGCCAATAACGTATTTGTAGAATCTCTTTGGATTCTACTTAACCCTGTTTGCCAAAGCTATCTCATGTTCCCATTTTGCCCTCATGACTTCTCTCTTGAGTATACTCCTACTGCTCTTACACTCCTCGAGGAATTCACTCGATCCCAGCTGTCTATACCTGCCACATGCCTCTTTCTTTTTCTTGGCCAGAGCTTCAATGTCTGTAAACATCCAGCATTCCCTACACCTCCCAGCCTTGCCCTTTACACTAATAGGAACATACTGCCTCTGAACTCTCATTATCTCATTTTTGAAGGCCTCCCACTTTCCAATTACCCCCTCACCTGCAAATAGCCTACCCCAATCAGCTTTCGAAAGTTCTTGTCTAATACTGCCAAAATTGGCCTTACTTTAATTTAGAGCTTTAACTTTTAGATCTGGTCTATCCTTTTCCATAACTATTCTAAAACAAATATAATTATGATCACTGGCCCCAAGGGCGCCCTCATTGACACCTCAGTCACTTGCCCTGCCTTATTCCCCAAGAGTGCGTCAACTTTTGCTCCTTGTCTAATAGGTTCATCCACATACTGAATCAGAAAATTTTCTTGTACACACTTAACAAATTCCTCTCCATCCAAGCCCAATTGCTGTCCCAGTCTATGTTTGCAAAATTAAAATTCCCGACCATAACCACTCTATTATTCTCACGGATAACTGAGATATCCTTATGAATTTGTCTCTCAATTTCCTGCTGACTATTGGGTGGCCTATAGTACAAACCCAATATGGTGATCATCCCTTTCTTATTTCTCATTTCCACTCAAATAACTCCCCTGGACATACTCCCAGGAATATCCTGCCTGAGTACCGCCGCAATGTTATCCCAAATCAAAAATGCCATTCCCCCTCCTCTCTTGCCCCCCCTTCTATCCTTCCTATGGTATCTATATTCTGGAACATTAAGCTGCTAGTCTTGCCCTTCCTTGAGCTATGTTTCTGTAATTGCTATGATATCTCAGTCCCATGTTCCCAACCATGCCCTGAGTTCATCTGCCTTACCTGTTAGGCCTCTTGCTTTGAAATAAATGCAGTCTACTTTATCAGTCCTAACTCATTCTCTGCTTTGCTCTTGCCTGCCTTGGCTATTTTATTTCTCCTCTTCTCATCTGTACCAGCCTCAGACTTATCTCTTTTATCCCTATCTCCTTTGTCCCACACTCCCAAACCTTCCCAATTTACTAGTTTAAAGTCTCCTGAATAGCACTAGCATATTGGTCCCCTTCCAATTCAGGTACAAACCATACAGTTCACGTCTGCCATCAAAGAGATTTCCTTATTCAAAAAATGGGTCAAAAACTTTATTTTCAGCAAAACAGACACTGCGTTTTCAAGAAATCATGTGATTTAAGCGAAATGACTAGAGAAGCTGTCTGGAGGGATAATTGCTGAAATGTTTGCTAGGTTGAGCTTTTATGACCCAGAGACAGATGGAAAGGCCAGTAGCAGATTCAATTTGGAAGGAAGGATCTACACCAGCAGATGTGCGGTTTAGCAGTCCAAAGTTGTCGAAATAACTGGAAAAAGCCCTCGAGATTTTTTTTTTCTTAGAGTTCAATGAAAAAAGCCAATGTTTTAACCTGAGTTTGTGACCTCAGGGAGAGAATCACTACAGCCACTATAAGCACCAAATTATGATGAGCCATTAAAACTGGCGGCTGATGCCAACAATGTTGGTGGTACCGCTGTGGCATTACAGGAAGGGATTGAACAATCAGTCAGTTACTTTTCCTGAAAACTGAATTTGGACCAACAAAAATATTCAATAGTGGAGAAAGAGACCCTGGGCCTGGTGTTGGCTCCACAACATTGTGAAGTCTACATATGCAACAACTGTGTGGAGATTGTTATTCGTATGGACCACAATCCTGTAAACCTCCTTGAATGACCCCATAATAAAAACTTGAGATGATTTCATTGGCATATAATGCTAGAACTGAATTACAAGGGGTCCCCAGTTTATGAATGTCTGACTTTCAAACGCTCATACTTACAAATGTGATCCAATAGAGTGGTGTAATTCTAAATATCCAATGTGTAAACATTTCCTGCGCTTGCAAATGGCTGTTTTATAATGTCCTGCATTGTGTTCCAACTTGCACACAAAACAACTTGCGAATAGACATAGGAACGAAATCCATTTGTAACCCGGGGACTGTATTTGAAAGAAGAAACAAAATTATGCCAGATGCTTTGTCAAAAGCAAATATGTAGGAAATATGTCATGAACATATGTCATGACTTTGTAGAATATGATGACTATAATAATTGTTGTCTATTTAAAGTAAATACGTTATTGTTACCAAAGTAAAATACAATGAGTGACAAGTGGGAATTTCAATAGAAATTACAAATGCCTCTAAAAGATAATTTTTCATTCTTTTCTGGGGTAGGTGTGATGAAGGATTTAATATACTATTATTTGGGCAATTGAATTGTAAAGTAGAAGTAAATGGGTTTTTGGTTTTCACTTCTGTCAAAGTAACTTGTCTTTTTTATGAGTCAGAAACTCTTTTTTTTAAAGCAGAAAAAGACGGCATTTTCAATAAATCATGTGACTTAAGCTAAGCAACTCAAGAAGCTACCTGGTGAGATTGCTGAAGTGCTTACTATGTTAAGCTTTTATGACTCAGAAACAGATGGAAAGGCCAAATGCCACAAGCATGGTTCCATTCAGGAGACAGCATCCACACCAGCAGATGTGCTGTTTAGCAACCTGAAAGTAGTCAAAACACAAAAAAAAGTCATAGAATCATACAATATGGAAACAGACCCTTCAGTTTAACCAGTTCACACTGACCATGTTCCCAAACTAAACTCATCCCATCTTGGCCCATATCCCTCCAAACCTTTCCTATTCATGAACTTATCCAAATGTCTTTTAAACGTTATAACTGTACCTGCATCCATCACTTCCTCTGGCAGTTCATTCCACACACGAACCTTTCTCTGTGTAAAGAAGTTGCCATCAGGTCCATTTTAAATCTTTCTCTTCTCACCTTAAAAATATGCCTCCTAATTTTGAACTGCCCACCCTAGGGAAAAGACCCTTGCCATTCACCCTATCTATGCCGCTCTTTTCTCAGAGTTAAATGGGAAAAGGGGGGGTGGGGGGTGGGGGGAGGTGGGGGAGAGAAAGACAGAATCACATCTGGTGAATGTGTCACCGAAGGGAAACATGCACAACGTCATCAGTTGAGTAAGAAATTAAAGAGTGAAGATAAGAGTGACACTTCATTGGGGTTGAGTATCTGTAAAATAATTGCTGGGAAAAAAGATTGAATCCTTTTGTTATTTATGCATGGATCTTTATAAATATCACCTATTTTCTTTTATGTCATAAATTTATATTCTTTGTGCAGAATACTTTGGTAGTCTATCAAGTCAGGGTTGTGTTTGGGGTCCGACTTGTTGAGTATTACCACCAGGTGGACTCATAATGGATTGAAACAGATGGACTGGCTATCATTGGTCCTCCAGCTTGCATTGATCTACACACTATCACTGTCCATGGGTGACAGATCTGTCAGTTGCAACACCAAAGATTAGAGACCACAACATTGATTTCACACAGTACATTAATGCACTCTTCCAAGGTGTGCAAGAAATGGAATGTACAACACATGACCTCTTTTCCTCATTAGCCTCAGTTGAACGGTGACACGCAGACACTGTTACTGTAAAACCCGCGATCATTAGCTACAAAGACACTTACTAAGATTTTCAGGTAGTTAAGTGTTACATCTATGTGTGACTCCTTTAGGCAACAGTTTACACTCACAAGCAGCTCTCATGTTCAGGAAACATATCTACCCAGTTCTTCTATCTCTCACAGCCACCACCCAACAATACGTGCATGATGAATCGTTGGTGAAAAGGTAGAAAATGGTTCAAGCAAATGGTATGAATATGTAGACAGGTACCCCTAACTTGAATCAGGAGAAAACATGCAAGTTTGAGACTTTTGCACAAACACATGGGTCCGTGGAGCGAGACTATATCATTTTGTCCAGCCTGAGTCATATACTGTTGAAATGAGTAATGGTCAAGTCCTGTGAAGAAATTGACAATACATCTGAATTACATATAATCAGTCTGGCAGGAGAACACTTGGCTACTGAAGCTATCATCCTGGACAACAACCAGACATCTGTGTTAAATGATACATATCTATCCATGATGATAAATGGCACACTGTAGAGTTAAGCTACACAGCCAAGTTGTAATAGCTGTACGAGGACTAGATATGGTCATGTTTTACATTCACCAAAATGTTATTTGAATGTACAGAAACAATTTTACCAAAAATTGGCAAATTTGAAGCGTTTCATGGAGCATTTCTGATCGTGAGCTCTGGTAAGTTATTTCATTCTATTCACCGCCACTTACCTCATTAAATATGCACTACACCTCAATAGCATCTCACATGCACTATCTCATGCTCAGCATTGGAGGAGGCGGTGGCAGGAAGCAGCATCCCAATCCAAGGACCTTCTGAGATTATCATCACCTGCGCCATATTTAAAGCCCAAATGTCCACCAGGTCAATCACTGACAGCCATGAATAGCCCTTCAGAGCAGACGCAGTGGGAGGGCAATGATAAAGAAAAGCTTCCAAGGGCATATAGAATCATAGAGTCTTGCTCACTCCTTTAAGTACAGGTGTTGGGAAGTCATGCTAAGGTTGTACAGGACATTGGTGAAGCCTTTTCTGGAATACTGTGTCCAGTTCAGGTTGCCCTGTTATAGGAAGGATATTATTAAGCTGGAGTAGGTTCAGGAAAGATTTACCAGGATGCTGCTGCAAGTGAAGGGTTTGAGTTATAAACAGAGGTTGAATAGGCTGGAACCTTTTTTCACTGGAGCGTAGAGTTTGAGAGTTGACCTTATAGAAGTTTATAAAACAATGCATGGTATAGATAGAGTTAGTGGTAGTTGTCTTTCCCCTAGGATGGAGGATTTCAAAATTAGTGGGCACGTTTTTTAAGGTGAGAAGAGAGAGATTTAAAAAAGACATGAGGGGCAAATTTTTTTACACAGAGGGTTAGCGTGTGGAATGAACATTCTGAGGAAGTGGTGGATATAGATGCAATTACAACGTTTAAAAGACATTGGATAAGTACATGAATAGGAAAGGTTTAGAAGGATATAGGCCCAGAGTAGGCAGGTGGAACTAGTTTAGTTTGGGATTATGTCAGCATAGCCTGGTTGGACCAAAAGTTTCCATGCTGTGTCCTGTACACCCTCAACATGACTTTCCAACTCCTATACTCAAAGGACTGAGCAATGAAGGCAAGCGTGCTAAACACCTTCTTAACCACCCTATTATATAAGTGGCTTGGGTGAATCTTCATGAGCAACAGGGACTCACATTCATAAATACACTGCCATCATCATCCGTCAGATGGACTGTCATATTAACTGCAGCTCCAAGAATTAACCTCCAGAAGTTACCTGTTCTTAGCACAATAATGTATTAGAACCCTGTCCCAGGGAGTGTTATTCTTTCCCTAACACCCAGTATAGCATCACATCTTTTCATTGTTGAATGTAGGATCAGCGTGTGTTGGAGAGCCTGCAAACAATTGTTAACATCAACTTCGATTAACAGGAGAAATGAAGAAAGCAAACAAAAAAACTTCTGGGAAACAACAGCGACTTGTCTTTTGAGCTCCAGCAAATTTACAATGAATGCAAGAGGACTTCACTTTGTTTTGGAAGCAGGTGCACCTAATGTTGCTCCACTCTTTCATGGTGATGCTCCACCTGCTCATTGTCCTCAACTTTCTCCTCAGAAGAGTGCTGCCCCAATCTCCCAATTCTTTCACACCCATCATGTCCTCTCTGCCTGTTCCAGGTGTGTCGAACACAGCATGCATCTGTGCTTAGATTGTACAGCAGACCTCCCCAGACCAATCCAAGCTGTGGAACCTTGTCTTCTGGAGGCCTATTGTCTTCACCACGATGGTCCATTGCAAGGATGGGCTGCATTGTATCTATGTTTATTTTGTTCTAGATTTGATTATCACATTGGAGGCTGGTCTTCCACATTCCACCCTCTATAAACTTGAGGTCATCCAAAACTCTCTTACTGATGTCTCAACTTGCACCAAGTCCTATTCACCCAGTGTTCAACTTAATCCTAGTCTTAATTTACAAATGTTCAAAACTATTTCTATAATCTCCTTTAGCTTTACAACCCTCCAAGGTACATAAGCTCCCCTAATTCTGGTCCAGTTTTAATTGCCTTCAGTGGCTTAGGCCCCAGGCTCAGGGATATCCTCTCTACACCTCTCCAGTTCTCTTTCCTGCTTTAAGATAGCCTTTAAACTTTGCCTCTTTGACCCAGCTTTTGGCTATCTATCTTAATATTTTATATGGCTCAGCGTCATACTTAGTTTATTAATGCACCTTGGGACATTTTAGTATCTTACAGGCTGTATACAAATGTAATTTATTGTGTTTATTGATACATAATACTTTCATCTAATGCATTTAGAAGCTTTTAGTGGTTTTTAGTGGTTTTTATGGGTCATCTAAACATGAGCTCAGAATTTTGTACAAAGTTAAATTTTGGGATTCTTGTCCACAGTTGCTTAAGATCAGCAGTGGGCCATTCGGATGGTTTTTCAGATGGTTTATGACATTTGCTAAAAAACAGCAGTTCAGATATGACACATTGGCTAATTAGACAGAAAGTGTATCTAACCCATGACAATTAAGGATGGTTTACTCATTCCAGAAGATGAACAGACGGTTGGCACAGAGTGCATTGATCTCAGTAAAGCGGTGAAGGCTACATCCTGCTCTCGAGTCGAAGTGTGAGGGAACTCTTCCCTGGGTCTTCCTCCCCCTTTTCTGGTCCATCTTTCATCTGAGGAAGATGGATGCCTGGTAAGCACTGCCACCTGATTTCTCCTTGATGCTGAGCATTTGTTTAATGCCCTACTTTTAAGGACTGGCACTTTATGTTACATTAATCACCCACTTGAGTCTTCTATCCAATGAGTGCAGGACAGGCCCTGATGACAAGATAGGCACCTCCCTCTTTGCCCAACTCCCAGTTTTCTTTCTAAAGACATGCATAACTATAGCAGTTTCCAATTTAATAATTTGGAATGTCAACAAGGCACACCAGTCTTTCAAGGCAGTATCTGTAGCATTGTTTATGCCATTGCAAAGACAGAAGATCATTTGGAATTTTGCTGTTGACATTTTTTTAGTAATTTAGTGGCTCATAAAAACATGTATTCGGAATTTTCTAAAAAGAAGTAACATTTGTTAGATTTTGGGATTTGGAGCCGCAGTTACCTAATATAGGCAGTCGGCCATTTGCAAATAATTTTCAGATAGTTTATTAAGTTTGTTCGAAAGCAGCTGTCTAGATATTAGTGTATTAGTGAATTTCATTAGTTCCTTGTGATGTAGAAATTAATAGTTCATAAAGGGACCCAGTGTCTTATATATAATTAACCAAAAACAGGAATGGGACAGTGGCAGAGAGCAAAGGGAACCAACTCCCATTTCTGTGATAAAAGACCACCAAAATGAGTGAATGTGAGAACATAATCCCACATAATAAAAATGGAATTATACATATTTGACCCTGCTTAGTCAACGACTTTAATTGCAAAAAGGTAGAATCACGGAGGGCTAAAGAATCCTGTACAATAAAATGGAATTTAACTTATTCATTTA